CCCTACATTAAAAATGAGAACAAAGCTCCTTCTTCCAAGAAGATATATGGCAGATGGTCTTGCTGGTCTTGTTTCCGATTTCTCTGCTGATGGGACAGCATTTAATTAGTAATTATGCTTATTAATTCCAAGAAAGCAGCCATGATATAGCTGCTCTCTGCTGAGATTTTGTTAAGCTTAGAACAACACAGTAAGCTGGGTTCCTCCCTTCAGCAGGTCCCCATGGGCAGCCCCCAAAGCATCAACATAGCTTGAAAAGCAAATTTTCAGAACACTGTATCATGTGTTGGCCTCTGCTTGGAGGGATATTTGGATAGAATTGGGTCACATTTTCAAGCTTTTAATTGCCTTTACAGGGAGAAGGAATACGTTCAAGGACCCAGACCTTCTTTGGAGAAAGCATTTCCAGTACTTCTGTGCTGTGGACAAGACATGAACTTCCCAGCTGCTGGGGAGTGAGAGGAAACCTTTCCCTTCTCCATGCACAAGACCTATACTACTACACCGAGCAGTTTGCAGTCTGTCCTACAGACGGCAGCGTGAAAGGAATTAGGTGCAAACATGAAGGCTGGATCCAGGTGACAACATTGCCTTGGCCACTCATGCTACATTTAAAAATTCAAACAAAAGAAAGAAAGAAGGCAAAAAGAAGAAGCAGCAGCAAGCAAAAAAAGCTCACAGGGCACCTGACATAAACAGGATCATTTGCTGTGGGAAGGGGAACCAGTTTCCTGTGAAAAGGATTCTAGCCAAGAGAAATCTTAGTCTATTGCATGTCAAAAGATTTGAGCTGGAAAACATTTCTGTTCTTTTCTTCCAGTATGTTTTGTCATCTTGCGCTCTGGGAACATCTTGAATAGCTGTTAATAATTTATATCTTACAGTGGCATATTAAATCACTTGGCTGTCGGAATGGCTTTGAAACACAGGGTCCCTGGGCCTGCCCTGGATAATGAAGGGAACTCCTGAATCTTCCAGGTATCAATAGGTTTTGCTTTTATTTTTTGCAACAATGTGATATGCAGCCTGTTAGGACATGACGCATCTGTGAACACTTGAAAGCAGGCTTAGGCTGACAAAAAACCCAGCCTGATGAAAATACTCTCCAAAATCTGTCTGGTCCTTGGAAACATTGACCAGTTGGGATAACAACCATAAAACTGCTCGCTGAAGTAATCCTCGCATTGGATCAGGAAGAATTTACTTTTTTGTGTGTGTGTGCGTGCAGTGTTTCCGTGTTGGAGACGATTATAATTTACTAGTCACATTTAGGGCCTGGGACTCAGCCCAGCCTGCCGCTAAGTTTGCAACCTCAGCCCTGTCCCATCATGGCCCTAACTGACCCACGTTCAAAACTGCCTGGGTGACACTGAATGGGCTGTGATAAGATGCCACTAATAAAAGCTCTTTTGAAACCTTCAGAGAAAAATGCTACTTAATAGCAAATTGTTGCTGCCCTTATTTTCAAAAAATGTATTTTCCATACCAAGGACTTTCACTCTGAATAGCTCAGCAGGGATTTTCCTGTAGACTTATTGTACTGTAAAAATGCAAAATTTGCATAGCTCATCATGCAGAGAAAGCCGCAAGCAGAGGAAAGAGAAAGAAAGGTACAGGCTGGGGGTAACGTAAGGAAGGGAACAGATAGGACAGTTAGACAAAAGATGCATGAAAAAGGAGAGAAACAGAAATGAAGTGCAAAGGGAAAGCAAAGGGTGTCAGTCCAGTGAATTCAGCAGTGCAAAACGATCATCGACTGCTCCTCTTTAACTGGAGGGCCAATTATATTATCATATTTGCAAAAGGGAAGATGAAGGATTTCTTATCTCTGCTGGGACTGAATGTCCTTTTTCAACACTACCTCTGTGGAAGGGAACCTTTACTGGGCATGTGCTGCCAGCTGCGGCACAGGGCTGGCGGGCAGCCGCTTGCAGCCGATGCCTGATGCATCTTTCAAATGCAGGCTCTCTATCGGGGACAACCACTTGATCTTTCTGAAGAGTGCAAGACCCCGTACGAAAAATGACCATTGACTTTCTGTGGATTTAGAGCAAACTCTCATAAAGCAAAGTGCCTTCTGCAGAAGTTTGTGTGGCGCAAATGGCACCTCTCGGCAGTCAGGGAGTCATTACTCAACGCCCACAGGGTGGGTGGGTGGGTGTTATCTGCCGCGCACACCTCGATGCGGTTCAGGCATCGCTCACCTCAACACCCAAGGAGCCGATTAGCCTGGATGACACTGGGCGGGCTGCAGTGCACATGGCTTTTTCTTCCTTTTTATTTTCTAAATCAAAATGACATTGAAGGCGGAGGATCAGTCGCAGTGCAAGGACGAGAGTGCCCTCTATTGTCACCGTGCTCGCCAGCACCTTCCCGCCTTCCTCCAAGGGCTCTGGAGAGATGCCTCTCGCCTCGCAGCCTCTCCTTTCATTTCTTTTCCTTGTTGCACAGTGATGGCAACCCCCCAAAATTTCATGTAGTTCAAGCATAAGCTGTCTTTATCTCTCCAAGTGAAAATTAAACAGGGGATGCCCCAGCAGCTGGATTTCACGAGCACCTTGATCCATGACGAGGCCAGAGTCACGCAAATTGTCTTAAGAACAAACATTGGGGTGTAAGAACGGAGTGAGGTGCACAAGTGTATTCCAACTGAATGGCTTAGAACTAGCAGATGCCACAGGCCCCGCACGGGGCCCCGGGGCCTCCTCAGGGCCTTCCTTGCCCACCGCCCGAGGGGCTCCCTAGGCCTCGGGGCAAGCACAGAGGGGCACGCAGCGCCTCCCCCTCGCCTCCACCGCCTGTGGGGCAGGAACCGGGCTGAAGTCCTGCCAGGATCCTCTTGTGTTTCCGAAACAAACAGGAAAAAGTGTTGCTGCGCACACGCGGCGGTTGGAAAAGAGAAGTTCCTCAGCACAAAGGGGAGCCAGAATGCAACGTAGAGACCTCTCCCCAGCTTCTCGCCAGCACAGTCGCACATGCGAATTACAAGCGTTACCACATGCACCAAGGCCTGTGTCGGGAAATCCCCCCGCCCCAGTTCCCGAGGGCGACT